CACGCTAATAAAATAATTGCTTAAAAAATGTTTTCCTTTTTTGTTGGCAAAATAATTTGTTACCAAAAAATCCAAATTGTTGTTCATGTTATGAAACAAGCCTCCAACCATAGCTGCCAAATGTATCACACAAGTAGGCTTGACGCGTTGGAAGAGCGCTTCTGTTGCCTCCAGGTTTCTGGAAATTAAAAATATTCAACTTGAATTTTATTAACATTTTAGAAACACTTACGTGAGGTCGCCATCTTTAGAGCCGGCAAAATACCATACTTCATTTATTTGTTTTTCTGTTTTTGTCACTTCCTCGAGTGCCTTTCCTACCAATCCCGTACCGCCTGTTACTAATATTTTTTCCATCTTAACAACAATACAAAATTAAATTTAATGTGCACAATTCTTTTCTGTTATTAGCAAACACTTGAGCACTTGACAAATTTACGCAAATAAAGTAAAAGACAACTCAACAATTTATATCAGCTGTTCGCTGTCACTTGAGTGCAGTTTCAATGAAAATACTGTAAAGGTATGATCACAATGAATGCCGGTGGTGGTAGCATTAATTTAACAAGCAATTGTGCTATTTGAATATTTTACTTTTATTGATATATAAACACATATAGTCTGTTTAAGCTGATATGGCTTCATTGCAATAAAAAGACATGTAAATACGATAAAAAAGTGAAGTATTGGTAAAAAGAAAACAAAAATAAAGAAAGAAAGGAAGCAGATTGGTAAATCCGGTGAAATTTTTTAATCGAGTTACTCTTTTAATGCAATTTTCATTTTTGATAATAATCGAATTTCACCAAATTGGTAAATTTGGGGGCAATATAAGACTTGGGGCAAAATAAGAGATTATTTTATAAAACATTACATATTTTGTCAAAGTAGTAAGATTAACTTGCTATATGTATTAGTGAAAAATATAAATGTCTACTAAAACAACTAAAAAAATGTTAGATTACTCTAGGAATGTTCAATTAGGCAACAAAATTTGATAGATCGCGAGCAAATCTAGATTAAATTCAAATTTACGAATCGGAAACGCAATTAATAATATATTACTTTCTGCTTAGAGTTTAAGCAGCAAGAATTTTAGTAATGAAATAAGTCTACATATTATTTAGTGGCATTCGCAGTTTAATTAATGTAATTTATTGGAGTTAGTGCAATAATTACACTTAGTGTTGTGTGTTAAAATTGCTCTTACTCTGTTCATAATACATAATAATACATATAAATTTGACTTTATGGAATATTTATTACATGTTAATTTCATATAATATAATGTTTGGGCTGCAGTTAAAATCGCTTATGTTACTGAAATTAAGATTTAGTCGTTTCCATTAGTATAAGTTGATTTGTGCATGTTTCTTTACATACAAAACATACGACAAATATTTTTAGTTTTGGTAATTTTTCTTTGGCGAAATTTATTTTTAAGAGTAGCATTTGACATGTTTCACCTTAAATGAGTTTATTCATTTATGATTATTTATATGAAAACTCTTTGTATGGTAAATTATCCTTATTATTAAGTTATCCTTATTATTAAGCAGCAAGAATTTTAGTAATGAAATAAGTCTACATATTATTTAGTGGCATTCGCAGTTTAATTAATGTAATTTATTGGAGTTAGTGCAATAATTACACTTAGTGTTGTGTGTTAAAATTGCTCTTACTCTGTTCATAATACATAATAATACATATAAATTTGACTTTATGGAATATTTATTACATGTTAATTTCATATAATATAATGTTTGGGCTGCAGTTAAAATCGCTTATGTTACTGAAATTAAGATTTAGTCGTTTCCATTAGTATAAGTTGATTTGTGCATGTTTCTTTACATACAAAACATACGACAAATATTTTTAGTTTTGGTAATTTTTCTTTGGCGAAATTTATTTTTAAGAGTAGCATTTGACATGTTTCACCTTAAATGAGTTTATTCATTTATGATTATTTATATGAAAACTCTTTGTATGGTAAATTATCCTTATTATTAAGTACCTTATTATCCATATTAAACCTGTCAATATGAGACAGTGGGAGACACAAGTTGTTGATTTATATATTTTGTATTATATTTTATATTATACATATTAATTTTACAAACAATTTTACAGTTAAAGTGATGTAGACTGTCAGGTTTCCTCTTTGCAGAACAAAGATGCAGTCAGAAGAAGGAGTAAAAGAGCTAGTTGTTAGAACATCTATTAATCAACAATTTACACTCAACATTTGTATAGTATATAATATATAAATATGATATGCAAGCTTCACAAACGATATAAATAATTTTCATATTTTTCGCACACTTATAAAAACCCTATAATCCCTGCCCTATGTTGTGAAAGGCTAAAACAACAGGTTATAACGTACTGGGTTTTGAGCACATCTATCAATATTGGAAAGAGTCCACAAATAGATGAACACATAGTAAATATATTTATAAATATATAAGGATAAAAAGATAGTCACCATTCCAATTTTTGTATTATAAGATAATAAATTTTAGCAAAATTAACAATTACATAATAACAGTCGACATATAATTATTATATTTGAGTAAATTTTTAAAATTTTTAGCGCACATATATACCCGAAACGACCGAATAAAATATGTACTTTTTGTTTTGATTATAAATCGTTCTGGTAGGACACTTCTTATCCTGTTGCTGCCAATTGTTGTTATTCAAATGCATGGCATTATTTGTTTTTACAATTTATCCCTTCGTCACCTACTTCGTTGACTGTTCGCGTTAAGCTCGTTAAAGTGTTTCACATGGCGGACTTTTATTCAGAGTCTGTCAGGCTCGGTTGTGCAAAACTGACCCATTTGTGGGCGTTTAGGGGGTGGAAAATTCTTTATCAAATTGAGTTTGGGTTGATTCGAATTTGTGATTCCTTTACAGGGTGAGTTCTCTTTGGGTATAAAAGCGACAACGCAACAGGTTTCAATTTAGTTGCTGTCGTACGGTCTTCGTGTATGGAATAAAAATTGGATATTGGATTATTTCCGTTTTATTGTGACTGTGAATTTTAAAACTGTTATATGACTGTTGCTTAAGTGTTATAAATTTAAAATAAAATTAAAAAATATTTTTAATGATTTGAGTTTTAAAGAACGTTGTTACTAAAAATAAATGTTATTACAAAAAAAAAAAAAAATATATATATATAAATAAATTGTTAAAAATGTAAAAAAGATTTTAAATTTATATTGTTTTCAAAAAGTAATAAAACTTAAATAAAATTAAAATAAAATCTAAATTCGACTATAAAAATAATTTCAAATAAAATTTGTAATATAAACGCTAAGTACGTGCTGTGCATACTTAACTAATTTTAAATAAAATTTAGTAATTTACAATTAATTTTGAGAAAAAAAAACTCATTAACGAAAGGTAAATAGTAAATTAAAGTATTTATTTAATTTTAATTAAGCAACAATTAATTTATAAAAAATGTTTCGTATTTTTTGCTATTTTATATAGTTTAATATCATTTTTAAAGAAAAGTTGAGGTGAAACCTCAAATGTGCTTTAAACGGAAGTAAATATAAAGGACACAAAAATAGAATAGAAAAAAAAATATAATAATAAAATAACTCGGAAATTAATGGGTTTTTATGCAAAAATGTTTGGGGTTTTAGATGGACTGTGAATTGCTTATTTGAAGAGCACTTATACATCAAAATACTTTTTTCACCAATTTTTATGGCATCTTTTTTTTTTAAGCAATTCCGGTAATAATAACTGCCAAGGATTTGGCGAAAAGTTAAAGAGGATTATTTTTAAGTGTTTGAAATATTTCAATTTTAAAGAGAAAAATATAAGTGAACAATATACATAAATATAAAATAGAAAAAAATATAAATATTAAAGACTTAAGTTTTTTTTACTCAATAATATTAAAAAATGGAGGTTTGATTAAGCTACATACTATATTTTAATAATTATTAAATGGGTTCGGAAGTGAGGTATTACGATTTAATCGTTCTGTTTTGAATATATAATAGATCAAGTGTTTTTATTATTTAACTTAAATAATTATGAAACAAATATATATATTTTAAAACATATTGATATAAATGTAGATTTATAGATATAAATATAGAAATAAACTGAATTAAATATATATAACACATTAATATATCACTCAAATGGTTCTTAAGATGATTAATGAAACAACTTTTAGATAATATTCGAACTTGTTCATCAATATAGTCCTTTTCAAGGTTAATAAATTCAATCTCTCTCTTCTCGAAAATTTCGATTCGTATTTTCAGAACGATTTATTTCTGGTCTTGTCTTAGATGTCAGTTTTGAAAATTATTTCTTTATTGGACTCAAACTAAATTAAAACCAAATTTCTTAAAAGCTAACAAGACATTTAAGTGGTATGCAGGTGGTTAACCAATAAAACAATAACTTCTGAATAATAATCGACTTTGTTCAGTACCATAAGGGTGAAGGAAATTCATGGGTGAATCCTTCCAAAATTTTTGTCGAACATGTCGATGCATTTATTAAAGAACGACTAATTTTTAGTTTCCAACTACTTTATTATTGCTGTCAAATTTCTCTACCAAGTAAACAGATAATACTTATCAGGAGCTAGATTTGGTAAATCCAGTAGAGGAATAAACCATTATAAGTGTATGTTTTCTATTGTATTGATCAACTTGCGATATGGTGTATTGATCACGGAAAAAAAGAACTTTTTTATTCCTTGTTCGGGATCGTTATCGCAATTACTTCCTTCAAACACAACAAAACCGTCAATTCCAAAAGAAATTTTTTGATTAAGTGAATTTTTGGACTGTACGGTCAACAATTGTTCTGGATGTCGCCAAATATCAATTATCACTGGTGATTGGAAAAATCTGTTGATTTATTTGGCTGTATCTTTGTCTTTGATTTGCAAGTGTCAGAAATTAGGTCCTAAATTGCTTATTTAATAAATTTGTCGTCAATATTATCAGCATTTTGTACGTCATACAGATTCCTTGTCCTAATTTTATAATATTCTAATATTCTAATAAAGGTCAAATTTGACGCTGAAACTAATTCATAATAACTAATAATAACTCTTTTATATAAAATTTTATACTATTTTCAAAATTGTCAATTACTCTATTATTAGTGCTCTATAAAAATATTCTTTTTTGAGACTGCACATAATTCTTGGATCACAAGTAGAAGTTTATAACTTTAAACCTGTAAAAATCATGAAATTTTCTTGGCTGTATCCAGTATCCTAGTCTAGCCAACCTGAACAGTAGCTTGTTGTCACTAGTTGGTAGTATCAAGTGCTTTCTATTGTTGGTCATCTGCTTCTTCTACTGAAGATGCGGACTTCTTCTATTGCGTTTTCCACAAACAGTCCACCGGATTAAACATCTTTTTAGATGAAGCATTTTCCTCTATTCCAATTCAACAAAGCCGCTAAATTTTAATAAGCTT